ACCTTCTGTTATTTATATATATTTTTTCCCTCTTACACGTCGACAATTTAACATAAAACGGACTATCATTTTCCATCTGAAACAAGACTTCAGCCAGCTCCGATTTCGTTTGATTAATGCCAGCCCGTGGAAAATGTGAAAATCATCTTTTATCGAGGCGCAGCATTCAAATGAGAAAAGAATAACGCAAAAATCGCAGCTCTGACAGAATTCGTTCGTCAGAGGCGGGCTTCGAGGCAACAGCTGCGCCGATTACGAAATAAATTACTTCAAATTCACGCCGGCACGTTCGACCTGTCGTACATTTAAAATCTCCGTTTTCCCCCTCCTCGACGCTCTGTTCGTTTTTCAACGTTCAAACAGCCCCGGTACTATAAAGGCTGTTATACAAGTTTTGGTTAAGTTGATTGCTCGACGTCGATCTTTCCTCGGCTAGCCAGTAATTAAAATTCGCTCGGTTTTGAGAGCACCTTTCATCGTGGCGATCGATATAAAGTGAAAATCAATCGACGCCCGGTTTTAAGCGTACTCTGTCATTCCCGTCACTTTTTCCACGGGTCGATTCGCGCGTACGCGCGATTCGACGTCCAATCGAATGCTGGGGGAAAACTCGGCTCTCTCAATGTTTCGTTCCTTTTCATTTTTTTTCCCCCAATTAGAAGTCTCGACATTTTTAATTTCCGGAAACTTTCAATCCACGAGTCCGAACGGGTTTCCAGACATTAAACGATCGAATTTAAAATGCACGCAGTCGAGTATCCCGAGGCTATAATGTAATTTTCAGATCATAATTCATGTTGGTACAATTATAATAAAGTACACCTAACCCGATGACCTGAGTAGTGCAAAATTTGAGGTCAAGTTTTATCGTGCGTTAGTTGAACCTTGGCACCGATGCACTTGTTGGTTTGTTTTTAAGATTGGAAATCTTTTTATTTTCGAACAACCGAAATTCATGTACCGTTATATGACGAAAAATGCTGTACGGCGATGAAATGGGTGGGTAGTAACAGACTAAATAGGTATGTCCCGTTACGTAGTGTAAAGTGTAAAATGAAATTAGATTTAGATGAGCAGGGACAACATCAAGGAGCCGTAGCTGGTATTAGTTAGTTAGATTTTTAATCTCTCCAACTCTTGCGTGTGCGCGAAGTCTGTAAATTTGTTTACTCAGTGGAATAGTTCTACCGTCATAAATAAATCCGAAACCTTCTATTTTAATATATTTACATAGTTGTACGTGGATAATGGACGCACTTCAAATAATAAGATTCAGAAAGTGTAGCAGCTCCAAAAATCACAGGAGATCAGTCGTTCCTGAAAAGGGTCGAGCTGGAGGCGGGGGATGCTGTCAGGACTCGAAGCGTATCGAAGTCTCAATTTCGTTTCAATCTGAAATAAAAGCAAGACTAAACGTCGACATGCTGCGCGATCGAGAGTGGATATCGCAGCGTGGAAAATTACGGCGGGGGCGAAGGGGGCCACGTACGGAATCCGAGAGGAAGAACGTTGAAGACGAAGAAATGAAGAGGAAAACGCGGAATGGTACGAGGACGAAGAGCGGCGCAGAACGCGGGATAAAGACGATCGAGGGAGGATTCGACGGCGACAGAGAGGGATGAAGAAGAAATTGCTTCTATCCTCTCCCTTTCGATCCCATTCCTTCTTCATATTTCTCTTTTTTTTTTCTATGTATCTGCGCCCCGCACAATCTATCGGGATACGAAAGAGAGACGGATACAGTTGTTGAAGATATAAGGCGCCTAAGACCATCGATGTACCGATAGGGGTTACCAGTCGATATCTCGTCAGAGGTTTCCACGTGATCGCAGCTGCACGTAAAGAGTGGAATCCAATACTTTACGTATTCTTTTATACTTCTTTCGGGGAGTTTCACGATTCTCGTTCGATAAGGCATGGACCCTTAAAGGAGATGATTCCGAGTCTAATCGACCTTTCAACCCCCCTTACGATGCCATTAATTTCGCTCGTTAACTTCACTTGTTACTCGTCCGGGCGACGCTCACTCGTAGCTTTCGAACACACAGTTTTCAGTGATTTGGGAGAAACTGAGAAGGGAACTCTGGAAGTTCAGTATGTCAACTGCGTACAAATAATATTAAATCATTCGAACAAGTGTTTAATAATCGCTCGTTAAAGCATCGAAAAATTAAGACCTCTTTCTATGGGAGATTTCAAGAGAAAAACTTTGATATCTACGTGCTAGATCCAGAAAACAATTAACCAAGTAACTTGCAACGACGAATGTTGCTCCGACGAATGCTGCTTCATCAAAGTCCAGTGAAAACGATTAAAGCAGTCAGCAGTCGGAGCGGAATGATAACCGGCGAACACGGATCGCGCGCGTTGTTTTCATAAATCAGAAGCGCGGGCACGAACGCTCCCAACGAGTCTCGACGTATCAATCACAATTTATAATCCGACTCGTATCGGTGACAAATGAGATTTCGCGTATCGTCATGGATTCGGTTGGAAAAATCGCCGAGGTAATTTCCAGTCGCGACGCGTCCTTACGTTCATTAATCGTCGCTGCTCTGATAATTCCGTTTCACGTAGCCAGCGCGGAACAACGCTCGTCCCTCGAATTTTTCGTGGAGATCAACAGGTCCACGAGTGAAAGAGCCCCGTCATCTCGTCGCCTGTCCCTTTTCCACCCTAACCCGTCTTTCGTTCATCCCTCTGCCTAGGCATGGGGGAGACAAGTGCTACACACGGAAAAGGTGTGGTTGGAGTCAAATTCACGGTTGGAATGCTCCGTTAGAGTGGTCGGCAATCTCGAAGGGTATAAAGCGGAAGACTTAGTAGAGGTTCGTCTCTGCTTGATTATTTGGGTTAGTACGCTCAATTTTTTTTTTTTAGGCATTTTTGTTAATTTAATTTCAATTCAATATTTTATGTTACAAAGTCCTTCTCGTCGTTCAACATATCTTGTTCAGCGTAACCAAAGCTGTTGCCTTTGTTTTTTCGAACGAGCTCGTAAGCACGACCACACGACTGCTCTATTTCAACGTTCCGGGTAGCAAAATTCGCAACAGAGCGTATCCTTCGCCTCTATTGTTTTGTTTACGAAATCCTTCATTCCCAGACTCGTGTATATTTATCTCACGTACCGCCAACCAATTTATCTTCACATACCGCGAATGTTCCAACCGCTACATTTCGTCTAAATTTCTCTTTGGAAGTTTCAAGCTACGTAATCTTATATGTTCCTCTTCTATTTTAACCCTACCTACTAATACGCGCTTCTTGGATCCTTTTTCTTCGTTCAAACATGCTGGTCGTTGCTTTATTCTCTCTTACTTCCCGTAACTCTCAAGTAAACCACATTCGTACTTCCCAAAAACAAACCCCAACAGCCCTCAACGTCGAGTAACTGAATCATTTGTACAAATTGAACGTTAGCCTATCCATAGACCGCTCGAGCAATCGAACGAGATCGTTTTGTATTAATATTCGAAAATGGATGCCAGTCTACATACTTGGAAGTTCCCAGAACCACTCTCGAAGTTAGCCTCGAGTCTCGAGATAATCTCGGAGTTTCCCGTCGGGAGTTTCCCCGGAGTTCTAGGAGTCGTCGCGGGACGATGAAGTGATTCCCTCTGGTCGCCATTTTTACCTCGTACGCTTGATTCGCGCGGCAACGACGAAAGGGAACGGATAACGCGAGATTATCCACGTACGAAAGTAAGCGCGCCGCGGCAAAGTATAGCTCGTGACTTTCGGCGCTGCTCGCGGTCATTACGATTTGCATAAAAGGGCGTCGAGGGATACAAGGGCGGGGAAGGTAGCCGCGTACGTGTCGCAGGCTACGGCGAACAGCGAAGGGGGTTTTCGCACGTGCGTGCTCTCTCATTACGGCGGGAATCGCGATGCGGGGAACGCGTTGCAGAAAAACGTGAGGGGCACGCAAATCGGCCGAGCTCCGCGTGCGACGCGCTCCTCTCCGCTTCGCACCGCCTTGTTTCTTCTCTCTTCCCCTGTGTTGGCTCTGCGCTAGGTGTTTCTTAATTCCCTGCCCGGAACACGGACCACGGGGAACGTTAATTGATATCCTCTGGTGCGTTTCGCTCGTCCAACGAGAGATTTCCGAGGGAGATGTTTATTTTAGATTTTTTCGACACCAACGTCCCTTTGGAGAGTTAATGGTCGAGAGAATTTGCGAAATTTGTAAAATTGAATCGAAAATTGTAGATTCATTCTCGAGGAAGGTCAATTTTATAGATCCCTGGCGTACGCGTCTGACCACTGCTGTCCATTTCTACTCCCGCGCCGCGGTATAATAATTCCTTATCCAGTAGAAACGCATGGCACGTGTCAGCCGTAGTTGCATTTCGCTCCCATAGATTAATTGAAAACCGTCTTTCCTACGTCGACCCACTTAACTCAGGATTACCACGCGCTCAGAGATTAATGGGTGACGTACGTCCTTATCTGGCCAGCCAGCTGACCGCCGTGATCGTCATGAAATTGGATTTAAGCGAAGTTTTAAATCGAGTGACACGTAATCCAAGTTGAGTAACCGGCGATGCACGGCCCCGTGAAACTCGAGCTGCGCGCGGCAGCTGGAAATTGAATTATGCAACGCGTGGACATTCCCATCGTGTGTTGGCCATAGGCGCGTGAAGAATGGAACGACAACCCCGATACGTATCGATCGCATTATAAACGAAGAGATTCGACCGGGTAAAGAAACTCGCGTTACAAGTGTACTCATTATGCCGCCAACGACGCGGACTGAATAAATGCGGCCGCTGAGATACGCTTCGAAAAGATAGCTTCATCGAGGTTTAACGGCGAGCGGACATGCTATACCATCGAAATAAGCAGCTGAAATGTTGTGGACATTCCAATCGTGTTATTTAGTATCAGTTTCGTGAGATTAAACGTTGCGCTACCGAACTAGAATTACAATTGCGCGGTTAAACAAATTTCAGGATAAAATAAGATACATAATTGGTTGATCGAGTTCTCGTACTTACTCATAAGGTGTACCTAGCGCTTGGCTTTCGGATAAAGGGTTAATCGCAGCTGTGTCTTACCTGTAACAAACAGAAACAACTATTAAAATCCGATACAACCTACGTAAGATTTCTATTTTACGAATGATTGAAACAAAAGGATCATTAATGTACACAATAGGTACAAGTTAACCGTGTTCCCACTGCTAAAAACGTTAAATACCACCATCCAATTCTGAATATTACAAATCTAATCTGTTTCGAGAGGGAAAACCATCAGCGAAACGGAGATCAACGGCAGGCCGTGAAACGTTAAATAACAGCATCGAAACTTCCGGAAACAGAGCGGCGATAATGGACGGAACACGAAATGCCGGCAATCTAGATGAATCGACGCCATCCGGACGATGTTTCCCGTTCGTTGTAGCCTCGAAATTCACCGTCGACACGTTAATGCAATTCGAACCGCGTGCCCCCGCGACGAACGATCGTTTTGCGAACGGTCGAAATGTCCTCTTCCCCTCGTTCCTTGGCAATCATCAAGCAGATTGCTTCATAGGAAACGCGGAATACTCCTCCTTCTCTGAAAAGCCCGCTGGATTACCAAGGTCGGCGATTTCCCAGTCTCCAGGAAGGAATAAGTTCTCCCCCTCGCTCCTTTTCTGCGTCTCGAGGATCTCGAGTAGGACGATTATCGTCGTGAAAATCTCAGATGGGAGCCGAGGTCCTGGTTCTCATCGACAGATTCTACCTATATCCGCGGTAGCCTACCGTCGCCTATCGTCTTTTTCTCTCCATCACTCGTGCCCTCGCCCCCTCGCCGGTTTCCTACCTTTCCTCGCCCTCGCAACGTCCTTTTCTCTGCAGCTCGATTCCTCGTGAAAACCGGTAGAACCCGTTCAAAAGGATACCCGAGTGTGGCGAAGCGAGAGTCCGGAACGGGCGAGGACGACGCAGGAGGAAGTGGAAGAGGAACCGAGACCGTGCAGAACGGATCGAAGGGAGCGACGACGAAACGCGAGACGCGGACAAGGCGTTAAGGTTAACCCTTACGATACGGTTATGCTCTTCGTTGATATACATCCGCTGCACGGATACTCGATAGCGTTGTGCTCCCGATGGTCGTTCAGGAGAACAGATCGCGACAGAAGTGACGATGGTCGATTTCTTTTTGGTAGGTCCTTTTTAATTATTCACAACGACGAAATAAACAACCTCGATGGTTTTGGTGTTGAACAAAAATTTCTAAATCGTCTTTTGGAAAATCTGTTGCATCACGTTTTATCGAATATCCCCATCGCGGTTCTCTAATTGGCCAACAAGATTTGAAGAAATCCCGTATCTCGACCGAAAAGCAGAACAGGACGAAACGAGAAAAGGAGAAATCCCGTGGGGAGGCAAAGTTTATATTATGCAAAGCATGTGTTCGCCAGTGGATTTACGGGGCGGCCGTTTCGCCTCTACGAGCGTGTTCTTGGAGCCAGGCTTACTCGGCTCTGCGAGCTTGTTTTTGTCAGAGGGCGACGGTTGCAGTCGCCCGTCGAAAAACTAGGATGATCCGGAAGTCCCGCTCGCGGCAAAGTGCATCCTCTCGCCTCGTCCCGAGGCAAGATTAATTGGAATGCTAATGCCCTCGATGCATATGGATGCGTGGGGATTATCTTCCGCTTTTCAGGGCCGGGAGTGGCGAAAACCGACCCTGTCGATTCGTGCATTTCGAGCTACGGAAGTTAGAGACGCGTTTCGGAATTTCGACTTCCCGGGGCTGAGCGTTCCACGCGCTTCGGGGTGGAGGCAGAAACTCGTAACCGAATGAATGAATTTCGATGAAGCTGCGAATTCGTCGATCGTTCGCGGCGAGGCTTCTTCGTTGGATATAACGTGAGGGCGATGGAACCAACGTCGTGGAAAATAGGTTAAAGTTAGGGAGCGAAGTGAAACGCGATCGTCTAGTTCGTGTAATTTATGCAACGTTGATATAGAGTTCTGCTGGACGTCTCGTGGAATAACGTATTATCTAGGTGAAAATTGGGGCAATTAATCGACATGGACTTTCCAGACAGCTCAATATATTTAACTAACAAATTTATAAGTAGCTGCTAATCGACTTCATGCCAGATGTTCGTATAAGATATTTAAAAGGCATCGAGCTCATCAATGCAAAACCGTGAATTTCGATGAAGCAGCAAATATGGGATCCATTGTACGAGTTTCGTTGGGAAACGTGTATTGGAACAAGAACAAGAAGCCTAGAACTCCAGCACTATCCTGGAAAGTAGGTTAAAGTTTTGAGAACAGACTAAAATGTGCTGCCTGTTTTGCGTAGCTTATGCAGCTTGGCTCGCGTAATGCGCCTGGCGTCGAGTCTTATGCTGTTAAACTTTGCTTGGAATGTATTAATCCCTCAATTTTATATCTCCTGTTCATAGAGTTTACACGTAAAGATCGGGCGCTTTAGAATCGGGATGCAAAGTTTGAAAGAGCAATATCGCGTTGCGAATGAAAATTCTTTTAACGTTTCGTCCCTGATTTTAACATTTTTCTACAGAACTATAAATGATTCAAACCATTAACGCTGAAATATAGCAAATCACATAAATAAAAAATGTTACAAATATATCTCTCCACCTTTTAAAAACATAACCATATCCTGTTTCAATGTCTAAACACGGAGACCCTTTGAATTGGCAGTGAAAGGGCCAACCTGACGAGGCACAGATTAGCACGATCGTCGAATGAAAAAGCTCATCGACACGTGCGGCGAGCGAGCGTTAAACGGTTTTCGGAATTAGCAGGGCCGTTAATCGGAAAATTAATATTTCGAATTGATCAGCGATAGTGCGTGACTAGCGGCAGGTGTGAATCTATTCGCAATGGCAGACGTCAATGGCGCGATCATAAATGTGTTCGTCAGAAATTTGTAATAAACGCGCGCATTTATACGAGCGACATGGGCACACTGGCCTCGCGGCCAAACCGTGCAATCTGATTATTTCGAATGGCGTTCGGGTAATCTGTTTTGTCCAGTTAAATGTCGGGTTAATCGTTTTAGGACGAGTCGTCAAACATTTTCCATCGATCGAATATAGCGCTATTCGTGCTGCAAACGACGCGACGTATCTGGAATTTCAAGCGACGATCGCGAGTCGCGTGCTGATGTAGTTATCAACTGGACTTTTTCCAGAGCTCATCTACTGTTTCAGAGGTGGTTAAACAATGTAGAATTGTTCATATGTCGAAGACAATACTTTGTAAAACTTCTCAAAATCCACGCGACGACAAAACTTCACATCTAACAATTGGAGTATCTATCGGTGAATTCCTGTAATTCGTTGCAACAATGCTCGAGTCACGAACGATAATTTGTCGCCAAAAATCTCGACCGATCGCAGGCGATGTTATTCTCGTTTCGAATACGACAGAACGTTCAATTTATCGTCGACATTTTCGCCCTGAAAATATAATCGGATTGAAGGTCGCGGAAGTAGAAATATCGGCGAAACGATGGAGCGAGCCAGCGAAGCGACATTTTTAATGGGGGGAACGATAAAAAAGCGGCAGCGGGATTTAATCGCGACGGTGAATGTCGAATTAAGAGATCCTTACATTCTGTTTTTACGCTCTGGAAAAACATTCCCGAGTCGGCTGGGTGCCGTTTTCATGATCGCGAAAATACGCAAAAGAGTGAGCGATAAGCAAGAAATGAAACTCCCAGCCTCCTGGCAGAAACGAGACCTCGGTGGGCGAGAGTTGGGGGAGAGAAAGAGAAAGGAGAAAAAGGTTTCAGGGCGAGAAAGACAAGGTGAGAGAATGAGAAAGGGGAAGGGAAGTGAAAAAAAAAGCGAAAGAATGAGGGACAGGGGACCGAGGGAGAGAGAGAGGAGAGGGGGAAAAAGAACGACAGGTATTGTCTCCCGCAGCCCGTAATTAGGCTGAATGGCGCTTTTCATGGAGGAGCCCCCTTTTTGAAATTAATACGGGCCGACGCTACGGCGAAATATTACCGGGTGATAATTAACGCGTTATCGCGTCAAAACCGGCCGAGCCACGGTGAAAATTTAACCGTGCGATTAACGAATTTCACCGAGGGCCAGCGGGCTGTATGCTCGAAAATGGTGGCATATTGCTGCCCTTTTCGTCGTCGAGTATTCGCGAAATTGATTTTAACGTTATCCCGTGGGCGAAAAGACAATCGTCTAACGCGTTGATCACCACACCATCCACAATTGAGTGATTTTGGTAGATTATGTAACTAAAAACTACGAACTAACAGAGATCTCCATGCAACAAGAAATAATAAATCTCCAGACCGTGATCGAACAAGGCAAGATACAAGCTTGACGCGTTACGATATTCGTTAAAGCTCACCCCTAGATCGGGGACGTTGCGCCTTGCGACGTCACCAACGAAAAACAGAACAATTTGTATCCCCCAAAAGAATCCCCCTTCCCGCCCCCTCCCCGTCCCCCGGAAGTCGGAAGCGTGGCAACGTTCGACTCGTTCGGCCCATAAATCGGGGCGCTCATCTTTAAAATATGGGGATGGAAATATTTGGACTGTGCGCGTCGAATTGAGCAAGAAGTTACCCCCGCGTCGGGGGATAAAGGGGATTCAGGCGAGCAGGCAGGCGGGCAGGAAGTTGCAAAAGGTCGTAGTAAAGATGCCATCTCCCTGCCGCGACGGTGAGTTTATTTGCAACGTGCACGAGCAACCCACTGTGTAATCCCCACCCCCCCCCCCATTTTGCCCCTCTTGGTCACCGTTCCAACCCCCGTTCTGACGTCCGCCGCCGGCCCTCGTAAATTGCACGGCAAATAATTGATAGGCGAAGGCGATGTTTCTATTCTGTTGGCAGCACTTGTAAAGGAGCCACGATTTATTCCGCCTCACCGCCTCGCTGTCTGCCACCCCTACGGTATAAATGGCCGTGTCGGCGGCTCACGGGGGATGGGCAGCGAAATAGACAAAAAAAAAAAAAAAAAAAACGAAAAGAAAAAGGAAAAGAAAATGCGCACTCCGCGAACGGCGGAGGGAGAGAACGCGAACAGAAGGTTAGGGGAAGGGTTGGATCTTGAGTAAAA